TCTTTGTAAATATATTGTCATAGAGTAGACTTATGCAACTATGAAATCATTTGCAACTCGTCGCTGTTCTTCAATTATCCCCTTGGCTCTCTCTCGACGTATTAGTCGCCTAAGTTTGAGAGTATTCTCCTGTATATCTAATTCCCAGGTTCTAATTTGGACAGGATCATGGAAAACTATCTGCATCTTTCGGAGTAATAAAGGAAAGGAGTTGGATTTGGCACAATAGAATATGGATGTGTCCACTACTCCAGAAGTAGTGTTAGGGACTTCTCCCAGTAACGTGCTTTGTGCAGGACAGTTACTTTCAATACGGCTCAGTGTAACCCGAAGGCTGCATAATACCCTGCACTGGGCAAACAATATTTCAATGAATTGGGACCTCGGCATCCTCGGCATTGTCAGGCCTAGAATAAACGGCTGCCTAATTGGTTTGGTATATCTTTATTCTTAACTGTCTCTTAATTAATTGAACTGAGCGCCTCCAAAGTCTACAAAATACCGATGGTAACCGGCTTACTTAATATGATTGTACAACTGGAGGTATTCAGGACTGTCTTTCTTTGCTCACTATATCCAGATATATCCCCTTCGTGCTATATAAAGTCTAATCGGTCAACTCCCATATTGGTGACTTCAATTGCATGACACCGAACTGTATTTCTGATTTGTTGTCGCATCATGTGACAATAATTATTAGTGCCTTTCTATCCTAAGGCAGGCGCTAGTGCGATCTAGGAAGGAATGGAAGCTGGAAGATTTCCGTTATTTGCCGCTAAGAAAGTCCACTTCCGTTTTAAAGACCTGAGCAACTTCTACCAGGAAGCTTCCTACATACATGACTTCGCTGTTCTCATCAATTGGAAGAGTGTTTGTCCAGGTTATTCGCATCCGGCCTCAGGTTGTTCCACATACTCTTGCCCGAACAATGGCCACAACAACACTGCCACGTGACCCTAATACGCTCTCGAATTACAACAACTGGAAGACGAAGCATACCATTGCTGAGTTGGCTATTGACTTTAAGAAGCAGCGGCTCCATGGCACTGTCACCCTTCAGCTAGAGTCTCTCACCGAGAGGGAATCTGAAGAGATTGTTCTGGATTCTAGCTTTCTGGATGTCCAGAAAGTGACGGTCAACGGTGCAAAAGCTCATGATTGGGTGGTAAAAGATCGTACGGAACCTTTTGGTTCGCCCCTTTCTATAAATGTTCCTGGCGGAGCCGCTAAAAGCTCTATTGTATCTGTGGCTGTCAGCCTGTCAACGACTGAGAATTGCACCGCGTTGCAATGGATGACGCCCGCCCAAACCTCAAACAAGAAATTCCCCTACATGTTCTCGCAGTGCCAAGCCATTCACTGCAGATCCATCTTCCCATGTCAAGACACGCCCGATATCAAGAGCACGTATGAATTCCACCTTCGTTCCTCGCTGCCAGTTGTAGCAAGCGGTTTGCCGAGAGGTGCTTCTAGTTTCCTTGAAGGCGAAAATGGCGAACCAGGCACCGTTCTCTACTCATTCCATCAAGAGATTCCCATTCCGTCATACCTCTTTGCGATTGCTTCTGGAGATGTTGCTACCGCATCCATCGGCCCACGCTCCCAAGTTATCACCGGACCGGAGGAGGTTGTTGCCGCAAAATGGGAGTTTGAAGCAGATATGGAGAACTTTCTCCAAGTTGCTGAAAAAATAGTCTACCCATACCAATGGACGCTCTATAACGTTTTGGTGTTACCGCCAAGTTTCCCCTGTATGAGCAATGCGGCCTATTTCCCGCACCTCTCTATTATATAGTACTAAAACTAACTCTTAAAGATGGCGGAATGGAAAATCCAATTGCTACTTTTGCTACCCCAACATTGCTGAGCGGGGATCGCGAAAACATCGATGTCATTGCCCACGAATTGGCTCATAGTTGGAGTGGCAATCTAGTTAGCAATTCAAGCTGGGAACATTTGTAAGTTGATCTCTCATTGTCGTTTAATTATTCTGGAAGTATGCTAATCTATGATCAGTTGGCTCAATGAAGGCTGGACAGTTTATCTCGAGCGAAGGATCCAAGCCGGTCTTCACGGCGAACCTTACCGAGATTTTTCGGCCATTATCGGCTGGAAAGCTCTATGTATATCCCCAAACAGCCTCTTCGCTTGCTACTATTATGGAAAATATGTGCTCTGACATCTTTTTAGTGGATGCTGTCGACAAGTTTGGACATGACCATGAGTTTACTAAGCTCGTTGTTGATCTTAAGGGCAAAGATCCCGATGATGCATTCAGCACCGTTCCGTACGAGAAGGTTAGATTTCATCTCATAAATTCACTTGAGACATCAAGACTCGCTACTAACAGTACATAGGGATTCCACTTCCTCTACTACATTGAAAAGTTGGTTGGAAAAGACAAATTTAATCGCTTCATCCCTCATTACTTTACCACTTGGGCTCGAAAATCTCTAGACTCGTATGAGTTCAAGGCTACTCTTCTTGACTTCTTTGCTCCAGACAAGGAAGCTTCCAAAGCCCTCGAATCTATTGACTGGGATGCGTGGTTTTATAACACAGGAATGCCTCCTAAGCCGGAATTTGATACAAGCATGGTGGACAAGTGCTACGCCTTGGCCAAAAAATGGGAGTCGAAGGTATTTTAATGCTTTTGCTCTCTCTTTAATAAGACGTACTAAATGCTTGCTACAGGACTATATACCCAGTCCCGAAGACATTAAGGGGCTAACAGCCAGCCAGCTTGTCGTGTTCCTCGAAGCTATGGAACTGTTCGAGACTCCTCTCACGCCTGCTCAGTCTCGTCTTCTCGGGTCTGCCTACTCTCTCGCCAACAGCAAAAATGCAGAGGTCTTGGTACGATACCTCAGTGTCGGCCTTGCTGCTAAGGACGAGAGCGTGTATCAGCCGACTGCAGATTTGTTAGGGACAGTCGGCAGAATGAAGTTTGTCCGGCCCCTATACGAGAAACTAGCCCATTGCGACAGGAAGCTTGCAGAAGAGACTTTCAAAAAGCACAAAATGTTTTATCACCCTATCTGTAGAAGTATGGTGATGAAGGATTTAAAACTAAAAGAATAAGTGTCATTGGAAGAGAGATGTACAGTTAAGGTAGTAAATCTGGAGGCTATAGGTCTCGCCTTCCGACCTGTCTTAGGTGAATCAATCGTAGCTAGGATCACTCTCCCCAGCTCTAAGCTGGGAGACTCTTGAGGTCAACTTAAAGTATATAGACACCAGCGTCAATATATGCCTTACCAGCTACTTCCATGCTCTCTTATAGCTTTCACTTAACGTAGCAAAATGTGAGTTTATTAATGTAGTACGGCTATTGTAGCTCCTTATACCTGGGAAGGGGATGTCTTCGATCCTATTTCTTTATATTGTAGCTTTCCTCGCATGAGCCGGTACTCTCTCTGCGAAATCGGTCCATACTTCGCACGACCGGACTCATTGGCACACTCTGGAAGACACTCAATGATAGTATCAGAATCCGGACTTATGAAATAAGGGATTGAGTAACGTGCGCGCGTCATTCGTTCCTCTCCGTTGAATCGGTCTCTGCTGTGTGGTAGGGTTACTCGGTGGAGAGTTGATTTTAAATAATCTAATAGGCTAATCAGTAACAAGATTGAGTACTTGAAAGCTCCAAGAAGCTACCGTTGCTCCAACGCATCAATAGATCCCCAATGTTCATAACGATCGCATCTTTAAGAGGTTGAACAGGTATAAACGTCCCAGGAGCAGTCTGATTTTCTACTTCTAGTCCTCCACAGTCGTCTTGGAAGAGAATTGTGATAGATCCCCAGTCTGAGTGGGCGGGCATGCGAGCACTCGATTCATTTTCCAACTCTGCGGCCGGAATTGGGGGGTAATGTAGAAGTCGGAGTTGGTTGTTGTGACCGGAATGGAACTTTGACAAGAACTCAGGGTCTCGAAGACCTAACCCGGTGCCAATTGCGTTCAGAATTTCGTGGGAAACCCTTGCACACTCCCAGTAGAATTCCGTCATGAACTCTTTGTATCCAGGAAGTGTCGCTTCCGGAAGCCAAACGTTGGGCTGCTCATCATTTTCTTCGCTCCCAATCTCATAGCTCTCCTGTTTTAATATAAGCTTTGTAATTCTTCACTTGTGGAAGAACATGCCTTGCAATCTTTCACTTCTCGTAATTTCTCACCAACTTCTTCATCTGCGCTAATAACTTGAGATACTTTTTCTAGGCCGGGATACGAATAACCGCGATGCACTGCAGGGCCATCGGGATGTGGCGCCAGCATCTTGTCCTCCAAAGAGAGGTCGAAAAGTCTTTTTGACCAACTGAATGCCTCTTCAAGTAGCTGGGAGCTGATACTGTGGTTGATAATATATACAAACCCTACATTGTGGCATCCATCTACGAGTTTCTTGCCGACATCACAGCGCTGTTCCGGGTTGCTTTGGGGATTCCAGTTGGCAAAGTCGATGACAGGTACAGATATATTTGAGGACATATCTGCTGGAAGGATATGACCTTCTTCAAGGCCTATTTTGTAAAATATGAGCTAGTGTTAAGACAAATATGCCTGCGGTGTTTGGTGTTGAGTTTAGCGACGTTCGTTGCAAACATCGTCTCGCCTGCAACTGCCGGCATCCTATCGCAAGGCGCCTGGCTGACTTGTATTCTGAATAGGTCTATAACTAGGGCTTATATATACTTACAGATTACAACAGTCTCTAAGCTGTATTGGCCGACCGTGAGATGCCCAAGGCCATGTAGTCAATAGAAATCAGTACCAGATAACGTAACGAATTTTATTTATGCAACATAGTTTTCTCCTACCAACTGGTCCTTAGGACCCGGAAAGGCCAACCGTGGCGAAGCGAGCCGACGATTAGCCTAACTAGCTCGCTTCTAACCGGTCGCGAGTCCTTAAAATTTTCCAAAGAAAAAAATAGCCGCTGTGAATTTCGTCCTTGGAGTGAAAATCTGTGAAAAAAATAACAAGAATAAAAAAAAAGACGACACCTGTAGGGTTCGAACCTACGCTATGTTATGTTAGCTGAAGTCACAAATATGATAAGAGTTGGAACGTACCGGCCGAAGCCATATGATAAGATCGAATATATTCGAGTCATACCCATTAACCACTCTGGCAAGGTGTCTCACTAGTTATATTGCATCGCTTATTGTGGATTATACAGTTCAAAAGTTCTGCTGAGGGTTTTACACCGTCATTTGCTTCGTAAAGTCAAACGATTATAATTATTTTTTCAGATTCGTGACTTGGATACCCAAGTATCGTGCATCTCTACGAATTTTAGGATTGGAATCTCGAGATATTTGATATAGAATTCATACAATAATAAACCTATAACTATCGTCATAAGTCCAGATCCCTACCTAGTCTTAGGATCAATCACGCACGAACCCGAGCAATTACTATTCTAAGGAGAATGAAGCTAAAAGGCAGATGTATATTTACCACCGACAAACTCTAGTAAATCTGGATGTTGAGGGTTCCGTAAGCAAAGATACCGCCGGGGGCGAGCAGCGATTTCAAGGTAACTAGCTCCTTCTATAAGTCGGTCTGCTATAGCATTAGTTTTGAAGATTGCACTGACTCCTCCTTTTGAGGATGGGTAAAACGCCTTGACTGAGTTGTTGGATCGTTTCTTCGCTACTATAAGAAAGGCCACTCGACTCGCCACATCATCCATGGTAGCGTTCAGAGCGTAAACATTCCGATGCCGTACACCAGGAGGACTGATCTCAATGAAAACCGTCACTTCTTCCATCATGTCTTCCTCAAAAAAGCTCCAGAGAGATAGGGAAATGAGACTGGACCGATTGGCTTTCTGTTGGCCCAGGAGAAGCAGGTATGTCGGTATTGTCGTCGAGAACCATTGTATCACTGTCTTCTGGCCATTCATCGAGATCGGTGGAGTCGTTGCTTATTATCTCTTCTTGGTCAGAATCCGGCGAGTCTGACCAGTTGTCCGATATGTGTTGAAGCTGCAGGAGTTTGTGAGTGCAGTTTGTCATGCCATGGTCCTTTTGGCCGCAGATCTTGCAAGCTGGCGCATCTGCGCAACTGGCAGCGAGGTGGCCTTCTGCCTTGCAGAAGGTGCAAAATTTACATCGTGGACATGTTCCAAAAGAAACACCAACCAACCCACATCCCGTGCAGACTGGGGACCCGTGGTTATATGCCATGCTCTCTCTGGTGGACATATTGTAGATGTCTAATCCTCAATAGAGGACTCAGTCTGACTGCCAATTAGCAACCTTCCCACGCAGGCAAATGTGAAATTGAAATCCTGCGAATGGACGGAAACCTGTATGCAGCACGTATTCAATACCGGCGACAATCCTGCGTCAATTAGCTAACTGCTAAGACATCTTCAAGTGGTCTCTCATCGACTGCTGGGACATACCTTGACTTCATTTGTGCTGCGTAAAGGGTCTACTATTTGATCGTAAGCCTCAGTAAGATACATTCCATATATAGGAATATCTTTTTACCGACGATGCACTAGGTGACTCCAGTATCTTCTCTATAATTCCCTCCTCATCGGCGTCTGATTCCAACGGGAGCTTCGGGTTAAATCTCCCTTCTTTCCCTATCGACCCGCTTCCCGACCTCATCTTTGTTCATAGCCTTGGAGGAAGTACCAAGACTTGGTGCTTTTACGAAGATGCTAGCCCATATGGCGAGCAGTACCTGTATGAGCTACCTCGGAATGGCAACTTTTTCATGTCTCTGCGTAGAAATATTATGCCCAGTATGTAATACAAGCTTTCCAGCTTTAAATTTAGGTCCATTTGGCTTCATACATTGGGCATGCGAGATACTTGCTAGCAAATCATCTCTATTACTTCCAACCACTCCTTCGGCTTCATTGCTCGCTCACTCGACAAGCTCTATATATTAAACGCACATTTCGCGGTTTAAAAGCAGACAAGATCTTCGCCCTGTTGAATGGAGTTGCATAGAAAATGTAACACTTAATGGACACAAAACCGTAGATGATATTAATATACTTCATAAAAATAAAGCCGATGCAAGCGGAAAGGGAAATCCGACGTTGTATGAAGATCCTTCGAGGAGATGGGGAAATCAGTTCCACCACTTATATCCAGCCTTCCTTGCAGGCCTTCATCTGTCTTTGAAACTCCTATCTTCCACTTTTTGAACTCAATTTATGTGCTTACACTGATCCGTCTGCAAAGACTGGCCCATGGGTGGCCAGAAGGAAAGGTTGGTATATTAGAGTTCAAAGGGCAGTCCAGCAGTAATATGACATTGGAATAAAGTAGAATGGAGGGGGCAGTCTGTATATAGTGTGAATAGTGTGAATATAGATCGATTCAAAATAAACATCTGTAGAATCTAGTAGCTCAAAGTCTACACAACACCAGATGAGAACAGTCCGCCACCTGGCAGGAACCGAAACACCGTTGATGCGCCTTCTTGCTGTACTCCATTAATCTCTCTTCTCCTGGTTCCCCATCGTTGCTTCTCTTAATGCAAATGTCCCTTGGTATGATAGCACATGTCATGATAGACGGTAGAGGTACAGAGCGACTTAATAGAGACCCCGCCCACTGGCCAACCTCACAAAGCTATAGGGAACATTTTGTCCGACTAACAATCTCAGTGTCTCGACCGTTGTAAATGCACTAGTATCCGCAACTCCATATGCTGTCCAGCCACTCTGCTCAGCAACCTTAATGGGATCACCCTTCTTTGGGCCGTTTGACAGATCAACAAACACCTTGCCTAAACCAGCGCCATTCTGGCCCTCTTTTCCATTGCTGAAGTGTCGGAGTAAAGGCTGGACAAGATGGCTCTTCTCTGGGGGGAGAGCAGATATGATCGCGAAAGGTTGATCGACGCGTTGTACACTCTCAATCGAGGTGAACGGCTCGACACCTGATGCCAGAGGACCGAGGGCCTTGAACCCGACTGTATAAATCTTACCAATGTTAAGACTCCGTAGCGCGAAGATCACGGAGGCCGCATTTTCGCCAGAGTTGGAAAGAATGATGGCAGCTCGATCTTTGTACGCAGAAGGGGCGAAGTCTCTGGTCAGAGTTGCGCGAATGCCTTTCCATATTGCGTTATCGCCAATAAAACTATTGGGACTCGAGGAAGAGACCACGATGGTATCAATTGCACCTATCGTTCGTGCTGCATCCGACAGCACTGGGATATATGGTTGATTTGCCGGGAGAGGAGGGTTAATGTAAGCTCCTCCGAAGTTGGGTTGGAGACAGAACATCTCGACGCTGCCATTAGTACCTCGATCAACGGACGCAAACTGATGAGGGAGACCGAGTTCATTGAAGCACTTCTCAAAGAAAGTGGCTTGGGGGGTCGAACGAAAGGAGCCGACGGCGTAGATGTTTTTCTTGGGCAACTGACCCATGGTTGACAGAGCGCCATTGATCTCGGCGGCACTCATCTGGCCTGGGGCGGCGACGATTGGCAGTAGGGGGTGGGTGATGGGAGAGAAGAAAGTATTGAGCGCACGGGATAATTGTCCGAGTTGTCCCATGTTCACGGCAGACAGAGGGGGGCCATCAGGGTTGTTCAGTTTGATCTGAGAGCGGAAATATTCGAGCTCATAGTTTTCCGACATGGAGTTGATAATAGTAATCATCTTGACGATATCACCGTACTTGCGTGACTCCTCAAAGATTGACTGTGCCTGAGGAGAAGGCCACTTGAATGTCCCGGAAAAATCGTGGAAGGCCGATATAATGCGACTGCTTCCTCTCTGCTCGAAGAGCCTGCGACGAATGTCTTCTGGTAACCAGAGCTCGACATCGATGTACTCGCAGCCCCACTGGATGGCTCGATAGAGGTACTCATAATACAATTCTGGATTGTCCATGGGAAACCGGCCATTTTCTCTTGTGCAGCGGGTTGTGAAGATGATGGGGAGTTCTGTTCTTTGTCGAAGAAGCATGACCTGCTCTCCGACATAACTCAGGCTGGGCACCGAACTGAAGGTGCCATCTGGCAAGGGTTCTTTGAGCAGATCGACACGGATCTCGACTGCATCTGAACCTACTGAGAGTATGTCCAGGTTTGAGAGTGCTGTTCGGACATCGGGGAAGGTAGTAGAAATGAAATATGTCCTAGGTTTGGTGATGAGGGCCTCATGATGGCTGATCTGGCCAAGCGTAAAGGCAATAAAGCGGGCGAGATCTCTCCGGAAAAATGGTTGCTCTGTGTATAAGAACTCATAATCGGAGGCAGCAGATAGGCGGACGTCTGGAGGCATGCCCAAGTTCACACAATGAGAGTTGATGGCAACGACGAGGGCCTTGTTTCTCGTTGCAATATCGACCTCGGCGTCGGCAGCCGCAACTCCTATGACCGTGCCATGGTCCTCGGCGCCCACGGCGGAGAAGCCAGAGGCTAACCGGTATGGCTTCCCAAGCACGCTGGCAAAGACAGACACGATCTTCTCCTGTCCCTGCCCGTAGATAATCACCACTATGCGCGAATCCCCTTCACCCGCCTTGGTTCCATTGATAACACCATTCGTGCTCTTCGGCCGGGCCGGCGTCGGGGCGGACTGCTGTTGCTGCTTGGTTGCCATCGCCACCAAGTGAGAGAGGTGGTCAATGGGCTTGGGGGACTGAATGATATCGGGGGAATTGGAGGGAGATATAGTTGCGGTGGACTGGGGAGGTTCTTGCATGGTGATGCTGGGCGCGGCCTTTTGTGCCGGACGGGGTTCCGGGTTTGCGCAGCGCCCATTAACAGGTATAGTAGGAGCACTATACCACGGCGTTATCTCTCCAAGTGTCACAGAGCTCTCTGATTCTTCTGTACTGTGCATTCGAGGGTCTTGTGCGGCATGGCAATCCTTGTTCCGGTGGTTTGATGCGTCCGCGTAAGGCCGTCCTCGGTCAGGTCAGGTAGTGGCGCGAGGTCTGTACGAAACAATAGGATTCTTTGCACCCGCCGAGGGGAGTCGTCTTGCCGCTGACAGAATCCGGTCCAGATAGAAGACACATTGAAATTCCGCCGCGGATTTTGCTTTGGGTCTGGGGGTGGAGGGGGTGGGTTCACCTAGGCAGTGGGAAATCAGCGGCCGAATGGCTTGACGAGCTGCAATGGAAAAATACAGAACTGGGGCGGGCGCTC